AACACCAATCTGCCAAGAGGAAAGCAACTGAGTACTAATCTTTCAGTTTCTTAAGCTCTGCCTGGGCTGGCATGATAAAATACCACTGAAACCTAAAAACATTATAGCCTCAAAGTGAATGTGCACAATTTTTATTCTTTTCCATATAAATAATGACATTTAAGAAATCTGCTTCACTCATCTAGCAAATGTATAATGAATCCTTACCATATGCTAAGCCCTGTGACAATACTGCATCTCTGTTGTTCATGTTTCATGAGCTATGTGGCAATGAAGGACTTTAGAGTACCATAGCAATCCTCCATTTACAACATATTAGAATGACAAAGTAGAAATTTTCTGTTACAAGTCTTTTCAAAAGTAGTCATTACATAACACTGATTGAAAAAAAAATGGTTCCCAAACTTTAGCAAGCACCATCACCTACTGGCTCAGTGGATCCAGGGTAGAGTTTGATAATTTGCATTTCTATTAAGTTCCCAGGTGATGATGATGATGCTGGTCAGGGGACTAAACTTTGGATCCACTGCTCTAGCTCAGGGGATGGCAAACATCCTATATAATAAAGGCCTAATATGCTGTCTGGTTGACCAGTAGGCCGTTCAACTAATCAAGGTAATATGCTAATGATATGCTAAGGCTGCTCAACCACTCGCTATGACATGCACTGACGACAAGGGGGACAGACAGTTGACCGGTCGACCAGTCACTATGACGTGCACTGACCACGAGGGGGCAGACGCTCTGACTGGTAGGTTAGCTTGCTGCTGGGGTCCGGCTGATTGGGACTGACTGAGTGAGATGGGCCAGATACGCCCTGAAGCCCTCCCACGGTCCCTCCCCTGCTGGCCACCCTCCCACATCTCTCCCCAGCCCCAATCATGCACTGGTGGGGTCCCTAGGCCTGGCCTGCACCCTCTCGCAATCTGGGACCCCTCGGGGGACGTCGGAGAGCCGGTTTCGGCCCTATCCCACAGGGGAAGCGCTGCTCAGCCAAAAGCCAGGCTCACGGCTGGCAAGAGCAGTGGTGGTGGCGGGAGCCTCTCCCACCTCCACAGCAGCACTAACGATGTCCAACTGACAGCTTAGCCATCAGTCAGATATCCCCCGAGGGCTCCTGAACTGCAAGAGGGCACAGGCCAGGCTGAGGGACTCTCTCCCGAGTGCACAAATTTCGTACACTGGGCCTCTAGTTTCCTATAAAAGGCCAGATAAATAAATATTTTAGGCTTTGTGGGGCCATTACAGTCTCTGTTGCAACTACTCAACGTGCAAAAGCAGCCATAGACCATATGTAACCAAATGGTGTGGCTATGTTCCAATAAATTATTTATGGACACTGAAATCTGAATTTCAAATATTTTTCAAAAGCATGTTATTTTGATAATATCTTTTGATTTTTTATAACTATTTTAAAAAGTAAAACCATTTTTAGTTTGTGAGCCATACAAAAACAGGCAGTGGGCTCGATTTGGCTCAAGAGCCATAGTTTGCCAAACCCTGTTTAGATGAATGGTTTTCAATCCTGGCTCCTCATCAGAAATACTTAATGCCCCATCCCAAGAGATTCTGAATTAATGGGTCTAAGCCCTAAGGTGATTCTCATGTACAACCAGGAATGAGATCTACTGCTCTAAATGTTCCCCCAAGTGACTTCTTAGGATATTTATGGTTTAATAAGCCTTACATGAATAAAGATTTCTGGGATCAGGTAAGTTTAAAAACAAGGGTAAAAAGTTTTTTATTGCATTATTTCTAACAATATCCTCACAAATCTATAAGAGGGGATATAATAATCTGGTTTCCAGATTAATGTGACCACTAAACCCATTGATCTAGTATTCTATGAAGCAATTGGGAAACACTGTTCTAAATCTTTCATAAAGAATACCAGATACTTAATACTTAATTTCATATAAGTATAGTAAAATATGAGAGCAGAAATCAATTGAACAATTGAATACAGTTGGTTACTATCAAAACAAAAATTTTAAAAGTCCAACTCCTATAAATCTGAACAAATTAAAAATTCAAAAAGCCACAAATAACAGGCAGTTATTTTAAAAGGGAGAGGAAACTACAATGAATCTGAAAAAAAAATCAAGATCAAAGATGGTTTGTACAACGTCAAACATAACTCAAAACATGTAGAAAATCTGAACACATCAATAACTCTGGAAGAAACTGAAAAAGAATTATCAATGCCCTCAAACCCCCATTTAAAGAAAAGGAGATAATAATACAGGGTCTCAACAGATTTACTGGTGAATGCTCTCAAACTTTTCAAGAACTTGATAACTCCTCGATAAATCCAAAGGATTTTAGCATTATCTACTGGCTAGATAGATACACAGTAGGCACTCAAGAAATATAGTAAACAAATTAAAAAATGGGCATAGGACCTAAATAAACACTTCTCGAAAGCAGACATATAGAAGGCCAAGAGGCATATGAAAAAATGCTCAAAATCACTAATCATCTGAGAGATGCAAATCAAAACAACCATGAGGTACCACTTCACACCTGTAAGAATGGTTATTATCAACAGATCAACAAACAACATGTGCTGGCGAGAATGCGGAGAAAAAGGAACACTCTTGCACTGCTGGTGGGAATGCAGACTGGTGCAGCCTCTGTGGAAAACAGTATGGAGTTTCCTAAAAAAAATTAAAATTGAAACTTCCATTTGACCCAGTAATCCCACTTCTAGGAATATATCCCAAGAAATCAGAAACACCAACCCATGAGAAAGAACATATGCACCCCTATGTTCATAGGAGTGCAATTTACAATAGCTAAGATTTGCTAACAGCCTAAGTGCCCATCAGCAGATGAGTGGATTAAAAAATGGTGATACATCTACACAATGGAATACTACACAACTGTAAAAAAGAAAAAACTCTTACCATTTACAACAGCATGGATGGACCTGGAGAGCATTATGCTAAGTGAAATAAGCCAGCCAGACAAAGGTAAGTATCACACGATCTCACTCATTTGTAGATTATAATGAACATAAACTGATGAACAAAAATAGATCCAGAGACATAGAAGCATCGAACAGACGATCCAATTTCAGAGGGATGGCAGGGGAGGGTTGGCAGGAGGGGGAGGTAGGAGGGTAAGAGATCAACCAAAGAACTTGTATGCATATAAGCATCACCAACGGATAC